ATCTGCCTTTATTACATCCTTTAAAAGAAAAAACAAATAGTTATTTACTTTTCCAATGCTCTAACTGCCAAGTTAACACATATTAGACATAATTAGTTTTGAGTTTTACTGATTTTTTTTCATGTAAGAGACAAGAAACAACACCCACAGATCAGGCAGATACGGTTTAAATCATTGGCCAGAAACACTTTTTTTAAAAATAAAGGGCATTGTTATCAATATAACATATTGCTTAGTTTTGAATGTTTTTGAACTTTATATAAATAGATTCTTGCTTTGCTTTCTTTTTTTGCATCTTGCTTTTTTTATTCAAAATTATTACATTCCTGAGATCTATTCATGATGTTGTGTGTAGCAGTAATTCATTTTTACTGATATATAGTAACTATTATGGATATATATTATTTATTAACTAATTCTATAGTTGATGGATATTTGGGATGCTTATAATTTTTTAATATTACAATTAGTGCAGCAGGGGATGTTCTAGTACATGTATCCTGGTGTAAGTGGAGATATTTGTAAAATTGAAATTGGTGGTCGTAGCTATGTATATCTTTCATTGCACTTGATAATACTAATTGTTTTGCAAAGTAGGTTTATGCCAACTTACATTCTTGTACCAGTGTATGAGAATTTCTGAGCTCCACATTCTGCATAGCACTCACACAATAGGAAAACTTGAAAATACAGTTTGTGAAAGATTTTAACATTTAGTTTTCAGTAATAGAGCTAATAGATACATATTAGTGTGCTATAAAATAATTGAATAATACAATTGATAAACTCAGTTTATTGCATTTTCATATTCTTTGATGAAGTATGTTTCCTTTGTATGATTTATGACATTTATGAATTTTTTTTTCATGTAATTGGACACAAAGAAACCTTAAAATCAGGAAAGTAGAGATTTTATAGGCCATATTCTCTGATTTAAAAGCCAATCAAGAACTAAGTAATAAGACTATCAAATTTTAATTACTTGAAAATTATAAAACATAATTAAGATAGGTCTTGGAGCAAAGAGGAAATGAAAGGAGGCATGGAAAAGAACTCTTCTTTCAAAAGCCTATGGGATAAAGTGAAAGATATATTTAGAATATGTACACTGTTAAAGAAAGACTAAAAATAGGGAAATTTTGCACTTACTTTAAATTCATCCTGAGCATGGATTAAAAAAAGAGAGAGAAATTATATAAGATTAAAAATAATATACATCCAGAAGATTAAAATAATTATATGCAATTCTGTGACAACATAATTGAAACTCTTTTAGAAGAGGATTTTCTAGTAGAACATAACTTATCAAAACTGCCCAAGAAGAAAATTTTAATATGCAAATGAACGTGTGAAATTTAAAAGTTGGTAAATATAGCTTTTTAAAAATATCAGGATCAAATAGTTCCACAACTGAGTTCTTACTAGCATTAAAAAACATAAGATAAGGAATTTTACTGTATGCAAATTATACCTCTATTATTAAAAAAGGGAAACAAAAGAAAGAAAAAGAAATTCCAAATAATTCAGATGTTGTTCCAGACACTTCTGAAAGAGGAACCCTTCTCAATTCATATGCACACAGATGTAATACTAACCTTTTAAGTACAAAAAAGAAAGCCATGAACCAATCTCATTTATGAATATAGTTGAAAGAAATGTAAATGAAATCTTAGCAAATAAAGTCTAGCAAAATATCAAAGGAATAATGTACTGTAATCAAATACAAATTTTTTTTTTTTCAGGAATGTTAAGATGTTCCCAATGTCAAGAAAGTTAATACATAATTTATTATGTCAACGAATTGAGAGGAAAATGTGATCCTATCCATAGACTCTGCAATGGAAGCAGATAAAATTCAACAACCATTGCCAATAAAAACAAACAAAACCAGGATGGTAATAGAAGGAAACTAAATATATTAAGGGCTGTTTAAAAAAACAGTTGCTTTTAGTTTTTGGTAAGCAGTAAAATATTAAAGCCATTTTAATTGAAAACAGGAACAAGATAGGCATTCCTGCTTTAATCAGTATTATTCAGCTTTGATTTGGAAGTCCTAGTGAATGCAGTTAAATATAATAATAAAATAATTGATATGGACATGGAAAAAGAAGCAATAAGATGATCATTTTCTCCTGATGATACTGAAATACAAGATATTAGTAGAAAACCAAGATTAGTGGGGGGTGGGTTTTGGAGGGCACACTAATAGAGGTAATATACTAGTAAAAAAGAAGAGCACCAAGACTTTCCTTAATAGAAAATAGAGCATATTATAAAGCCACTCTAGTCAAATCAGCATTGTAATGACATGGAAATAGAGAAATAGATCAGTGGATCAGAATAGAAAGTTCAGAAATAGTTCATAATATCTGTGTGTGTGTGTGTGCATAGTAAAAGTGGCATTTCATATCAATGAGAAAACAATAGTTTATTTAATCAGTGGTACTAAGACAGTTCAGTATTTTGATAGAAGAAAATAACAGCCTATTAAAAATGAAGCATCAAATGTATATCATGATGGGAAGAATAATGGACAACGATGTCTGACCTTCTCAGCGTCCTGCTGTCTAACCAAACATCAGCAATTCCCAAACTTGGGTGGCAATTCTGATGTTGCTAATTCTGTCCCCGTCTAGCCTGTCACTTAAAGTGTCCATCAGGTTCTCCAGGTCTACTGTATATTAATGGTACCCAACTGAAACTGTAGAATAGTTATTAAATAATTTTTAAGAAGAAACAAATTTTATAAATATGCCTGTTTTGAAACATCTTTGAAAAATCTGTACTTACAAGAGATGTAGCAGGTATTTATTTTTGGTTTTAAAAGATGATTATTTACCTTACAGAAGAATTTTATCTGGGATTATTTTTGAAGAATAAGTTTCCCTAGTACATTTCAAATGATTCAATTTACAAACACCTTATTTACATACAAGCTGCCTCAAATTCTTATTAGAATTTATTTTATAAGTATGGAGCACTCATATGAATTGTAAAGAATGACAAATAAAGAAGATAATCATTGACATTTCATCTAGCTTTATCTGAAATAACTTAAGATGCATCTGATATAAATATAAAAATATAATTAAATACCAACCAAAATATTTTCATATGGTGCCTGGTCAGCGTGGCTCAGCAGTTGAGCATCGACCTAGGATCCAGGAGATCGAGGTTCGATTCCCAGTCAGGGCACATGCCCGGGCCGTGGGCTCGATCTCTAGTAGGGGGCGTGCAGGAGGCAGCCGATCAATGACTCTCTCATCATTGATGTTTCTATCTCTCTTTCCCTCTCTCTCTGAAATCAATAGATATATTTAAAAGAATAAAATAAATGTGGCAGGGTGCAGGGTGGGATTTTTTTACTTTATAACCACCAACCCTTTTAGTCTTTTTTCATCAGAGTCATTAAGAAAGAAAAGACAAAAAGGACTTTGTTAGCATAACACAGAGTCAGGTTATGCTTAAAGTGAGGGACTCTTAGGATGAGAAATATTTTTCTTGTAGATTTGTTAATTTTATAGGATGCCTAGGAAGGCAAGAACTGATGAAAGGAGAAAGAAACTGGGTGAAACCAAGTGGGAGGTAGGACACTGGGGGCGGGCAGATGGATAAGAAGAATTAGGCGGTAGATGGGAGTGGAGCACAGGGAAGAAGATGGGAGAAGGTACTACCAGGTGTTCCTCTGAGGTAGACTCTGATGGCCAAGTATCTTGATAGGACAAAGAAAGGATTTCATTTTCTTATAGACTCTTCATTTGTATGTTCACTGTTGTTTAATTAGGTTTTCTTTCTGGCAATGCTTGTGCTTTCTAGATATTAAGGGTGTGGTCATCTTAAGCCTCAGGGTCATAATGGAGGAAGGCAGGTTAAGGTTAGGAGAGGTGGTTGTGCTGTGGTGAGGAGTGTTCTTAGGACTAAGGACCATGTGAAAGTCAGGAATCTGCTGGCTCCACGTAGGAGAGGAGTCTTCTGAAGAACATTTCTCTTTCCCATCAGTAGACCTCCAGCAGTCACTTCATGCTTGCTGAAGAAAACCATTTAGCTACAATTAAATGTAAAGGTTTCAAATTACAATGGGATGTGTGTTAACCAGCTCAACTCATGTGCACTAAATTGTAACTAGGCATCAGTCAAGTCTGCATGATATGCTGTTCTTCCCAGAGGTGGGATGGGGAGGAAAATGGTCAGCTCGGGGGGAGGGTACTAGGAGAGGAAAAGATGAGAGACACTGCAGAAGACAAACAAAACAAAGGCTTCACAATTTTGCCTGGGTTGGACCTAGTGACCCTCATTTGGGTAAGGGAAAACAATCTGTCCAGAAGCCTTTCTGAATTAATTGCTGTGTTTCTTTTCCACTTGGCATTGTATGTGAAGCATTTCTTTTAAAGCATATGCCAGCTCCTTTCAAAGGGAGCTTTGTTCTCAGATGATCCATTAATTGAAGTATCACTGCAGAAATTGGAACAAAATTCGATTTATATTGTAGAACTCCTTAGTGTGGTTCATTTTTCAATCCCCTTTCTCCTCCCCCGGTGCCTCCAAACACACTCTCTTCTCACTGCCCGAGTAATTTCAGAAGCTTCTGTGCCGAGTTCTCAGAGGCCCATTGTGCAGTAACAGAGGATTCCGGCGGCAAGCCCTGGGCTCTGTCCCCGCGTCCCTGAGGGGAAGGCTGCCCCGTCCCTGCTGATGGGTAGAGGACAAGCATCGCTCAGGCCCGCAAGTCTGCCAAGCACTAGGAACCCGAGCAAGAGCTCATCATGCCAGTCAAACCTGTTGGGTGGATATGTGGGCAGGTGTTGAAGAACTTTTCTGGCAGAAGTATACACAAGCTTGTTGTAAAGGGGATATGGGTGTGGGGAACTGGGAATAAAGTCCCCTAGGGTTTGCTTGCTTTTCTAGCCACCTAAGCAGTGGACCCAGTGTTCCATGTTCTTTTGAATTACAGGTAGGGGATGTTTTTAAAGTTTTTTTTCTTTAACTTCTTTTTGTCTTAGTTGAGGGGATCCAGAAAACAATCATGGACCTTGTAGATGAGTTTAAAGATGATGTCCCTACCTTCCTAAGATTATCACAGTCTAATCAGGTAATGTGATCTCATAACTGAAAAGAATTATAAAAAGTATATTGTATTTTTAGTATCATACCAATTATTTAATGCTTAATTTTCAGATCAGTGTTTGAAGATTAGGAAAACATTAATTTCACGTAAAAAAAACAAAACAAAAAACAACAAATTTCAACTCTTACTCATTGGGAGAGATTGGGGACAAAGAAGTGAGGTAGACAGATAAGTTTAAAGACAGTCACCAATTGTTAGATTGGAAATCTAGAACTCTCTAAGCCACAATTGCAATGTAGTTTACTTAGATTTGTTTAATATAAAATCAGAAAAATACCTAAATATACTTTCATTAAAATCTCTGGCACTTAACTCAGTGAAAAAACATAGCTGACATACATTATAACCATGGAAAGATAAATATTGTTTGGGTGTGTGTTTTATGTGGAAAGAAAAGTGATATAAATTTAACAAAGTATGTATGTATATGTTCTAAACATCTGTTCCAAAAGGGATTTGAGACATAAAATATTGGGATTGCAAGAGGGGTTAGAGAGAGAACTTTGAAGATACAGAGGGTCAGGAAAAAGTAACATCATGGTTAGGGGTCAAGTGTAACCTACTTAACTCAAAAGTACACAGCTCTTAATGGACAAGTGTTGTTTCAGTCATTTTGACCACAGTTGGAATGGAATACGTTGTAAAGTTACATGGTACAATAACAATCTACTTATCCAGAAATCACACTTTTGGCAATGTCACACATGAGGAACCTGGAAGTAAACACAAAAAGCACTCTGAGTAACATACTGATCACAAAGTCTAAATATTTCATTCCAGAGGAAAGGTACTAGAGCTACCTTTAACCATTCATCCAGATACCCAGGCATCAGACGTTATTTGCTCTTCAAAAATAAATTATCCAGAAAAACAATGTTAATACTCCATTGTTAACTAGATTATTTTTAAAAGGTGAGATTGTGTATGCTGCAAGTTTTATTATTTCCATGAGGCTCCATGGTTCCCAAACATATTGAATGGAATAGTTTTAAGAATACTTAGAGGGCTTTATTAATTGGATTGTATTTTAAATCTCTAAATTTTGTGATTAGTATTTAAATATATTTTAAAATTATTATTTTAAGCATTTATTTACTTAGGAAAAGGCCTGGAGCAAGGGAAAAAAAGATTTGATGGGAATGGTGGTGAAATCTTTATAGAGGAATCTACCCAGCTAATGGTTATTACATTGTTCTTCATGGCTAAAGATTTTGAAGGAAATTTTTTTTTTCTGGGACTGGAGAAAGTTAATTTTAGAATCTTGGCTTGAGGCTGTGGGTTCTGAGGTCCTATACTCTCAATTCCCTCCCAACCAGCCCAGACTCCAATACCCTCAACATCTACTTCCTTTAGTAAAAAGTAAGTTCTTAAGATTTACACTTGCAAATTGCAGATGATTTCCATATGAAGATATAAGGACTTAAAATAATAAACCTTTACATTTGAACACATGAAAAATGCATACTACAATTGGAGAATTAAATTTTTTTTAAATTTAGATGATCTTGAACGAGAGAAATATTTTGTGGTAAATAGGGTCCATTTTTGTGGGTTATGATTATGAAAGATGATTATGTGTTTTATTCTGTAATTACCTTGCACTTAACTGTTGTACTAAAAAATTGGGAATTATAGACAGAACACACTAGAATTCATGACTTTTCTGAATTCTCTATGCTTTAAAAAATGGACAAAAACTACTGGGTATGCAACAGTAACGTCTGGAAATTACTTATATTGGCATTACGGTTTCTAAATATAATGACAGTAGAACTGTAACTAGAATGTTCTATAATTCAATTATATTTTTGTTTCTGGTGGCTTGTTTCTTGTGGGGCATTATCATTATTGTGAAAGTTACAAAGTACATTATGAACTTAAAACTTTCTGGGTGATTTCTAATTTAATATTTGGTATATTTCTATGATATTTCTCAATATTAACTTGTGATATTGTTTCTGACACTCTTATTCATTCATTTTAACTTGCATTTATAGAGCACCTACTGTGTGCCAGAGAGTGTCCTAGGCACTGAGGAAAGATGAGTAAGCCAAGTGGATATAGAACACTGCCATAGAACTTAAATCCTAGTCAAGCAAAAAAACAGTAAACAAGGAAAAAACATATTATGTTAATGGTAGATCTTAAGGAGAAGAAAAAATACAGCAGAGAAGGGATATGAAGTAGAGGTGGAAAGAGCAACTGATGGTTAAAACCCCAGAGGGTCTTAGTGAGAAAGTGATTCTTGAATAAGACTTGAAGCGAGTGAGGAAGACAATGTCGGTGTCTTTGACGGATCAAACAGCACAGCTCGTGCAAAGTCCCTGGGGTGGGAGTATACCTGACAAGTTCAACCACTAATGAGAAAGGAAAGGGAAAGAAACGGATCAAGTGGCCTGAGAGGTAAAGAAGAGACAACCTTGGTAGGCCTTGTAGACCATTGTACGTACTTCGGCCTTAACACTGAGTACACCAGGAAGCCACTGAAGCAGTTGAGCAGAAAGCAAGATAGGATCTGACATAAGTTTTAATTGTAGCTCTCTGGCTGGTGTGTGGAGGAAAAGAATGAAAACAGGCGTGGGCTGAAGCAGGCAGAGTGCTGAGGAGGCTCATTACAAGCCTGGAGAGGTGAAGGCAGTGTAGGGGTATAATGGACCGGGTGTTGGTGCCGGGACAGTGAGAGGTGGCCCAGTTCTGGGGCTGTTCAGAGAAAGAATGGAATAAGGTTTGCTGACAGGCTGGCTTTAGAGATGTAGGGTAGCAAAAAGCTGACGTAACACAAACTGGAGTTCAGCGTTAAAACTGCTGATGATAGAGAAATGGGCCTGGCTCTAGAGAACATAAAATAAAAAGGGAAAGCAGGATAGAAATGGAAAGGATGGAACTCAAATGGAGAAACCTGGAGCAGGATTCTTGAACCAATCTGAGGAACTGCTGCTAACTTTATTTTGGGAACTGGTCCTCAAGAACCTTTGTGTGTCTCTGAGGGGATGGTGGTGGCTGGGTGTTGGAATTTCTTTTCTGACGTTTGGTGATATGCTCAGATGAAGATAATGATGACAAAAAGAATCATCTAAACTTTTGTACTTTGCAACCAATTCAAGAATGCTTTCTTATGCCAATAGTTTAAAAAAAAAAAAAAACAGAGGAAAAAGAAATGAGGATGTCTTAATTTGGAGTCAACATTTAAATTTACACTCTCGGTTTAGTAACAAAATATATAACATAGAAAATAGGCAAAAAGAAAAGCTAGTAGCTCAAAAAAAGGGGGGGAAATGTTTTATTTAAAATTTTTTCTATTAGAACTAATTTTAAAAGTAGCTAGTTTGGCTCATCAACTTAAACTGGTGACTGTTTTGTTTGTTTTTTTAAAAAAGAAGAATGTCTCATTCTGTATCTAAAAGAATGTAAGTAGCCTATCTTCTGCTGTCACTTTCCTATTCCCAGAGCCCTGAGGAACCACCAAACATGCACTCAGTGCCCAGATTCAGTTTCTAATACTGTTCTTCTTAAAAGCAGTAACCATCTTCTTGGGAACAAGTTGATTCCATGTTTTGTGTCAGAGAAAGTGAAAGTAGTCAGAAATATTTGTTGTCAGAAGTAATTCTTTCAGAGATATCTAAGAAAGTATCAAAAACAGGTTAAATCTATTGGAAAAAGCTCTGAATTCACAATGAGACTAAAATGAGAAAGGTACTAGAAAGTGCACTAAAGCATTATTGTAATACACACTTGAATTTTTTTTAAATATTGTGTATAACAAATGCTACATTTTGCTCAACACATATTATGTGAACCCTACAGGAGAGTTTTGATTAACAGATTATCAATTACAAATAAGCTTATTTTTCCACAGAGATAAAAATTTAGAAAGACAATTTGGAAAAGAGGGGAAAGTTGAATGGATCAATTTAGTATAGTGTTTGGGGGAATTAATCAAGATTGGTTAATAGAAATGCTCTTTATAAAGTCAGTGAATCTGAGCCAACATATACAGATCACCAAAATTTTGTAAAGACACATAAAATAAGGAGAGGAAAACTGCAGAACATTAACGTTTTGCAACTGCAAAAATGAAGTGTTCCTAAAACGCTGTGTGACCATATAGAGGAGGTGTTAGTAAAGGTGGAACTGCACATATCCCATTCCTATTTGCCCTGGCAGTATGGCCTTCACTTTAATTATAAATTGTAATGAGAGAAAACACAGTAAATTGTAATGAGAAGCAAAACCAAACTTATTCTAGCTGCTCCTCCTTGAGGAGTTGAGAGGAAGAATCAGCACAGTGTGGGGGAGGGGAAATTCCTTCCTCTACCCTCTTGAGTTCTTATGGCTGAACTAATAATAAAATTGGCACAAGACCAGATAACAGGAGAAAAAACAATTTAATGTGTGCATACAGATCATAAATGATACTCAGAGAAATGATCGATGCATGTGTTTTCTACACCTTTTAGACAAATTTGTGAAGAATTATCAGGACGAAGAAACTTAGATTTAGGTGCTCATTAGTGAGAAATCTAAGCAAAGTTTGGGCTTGGATAGTAAATTAGTAAAAAAAATGACAAGGTTTTTAATACACATTTCTCAGCTCTGAATTCCCTAACTCTGGTGACAATGGTGTCTCTCATTAGACTCCAGGTGCAGGGATAGAACCTTTCACATAGGAGATTTATCTCCAGCTTTCAGGGAGAAAGATTGAGAGACAGAGATAGAGACAGAGAGAGAGACAGATTGAGAGAGAGAGAGAGAAATATCAGTTCTTGCTCTAGCAGTTTCTTAAGTAACTTTAATTCAAAATAATCAATATGCCATTGTGGGATATTTGGCGATGGCCTGCCCTGTGCCCTGACATCTGCAAAGCATAAGGTCACAAGAGGAAGTGAATCTGTATGTGCAGGAGCTTTGGATACTGCAAACAATGTGGTTTCCCACCCTAGTATGGGTGTACTCAAAACTGGAGTAGATAATAATATCAAGTGATGTACCTCGTGTTATTTTGCTTGCTCTACCTATCATATAACTGCTTATAAGGACTGCTCTGTTCTAAAATGGCTGGCAATTGTAGCAGTTGTAGCAGTCCATAATTTAGATTGCATTCTCTGCTCTTTTATTCACCACAGGTGAGCTAATGGGACTTTTTCAGTGAAGTTAACAGATTAAACCACACACTAGGCCTGGCAGGTGTGGCTCAGCAGTTGAACATCAACCTAGGATCCAGGAGATCGCATATTCGATTCCTGGTCAGGGCACATGCCCGGGTTGCGGGCTCGATCCCCAGTCAGGGGTGTGTGGGAGGCAGCGGATCAATGACTCTCTCATCATTGATGTTTCTGTCTCTCTCCCTTCCTCTCCCTTCCTCTCTGAGATCAGTGGAGATATGTTAAAGAAACACACACACTAGGACACAAGATGCTGCAGAAATACATCCTCATTGACAGGCTAGAACAGCTTTTGTTTATCTCCCATGCAAATGCTGACCAGCAAGAGAAGACTGAACTCTGAGGACCAAAGCAACAATAATAAAATTATTAATTCAGGAAAAAAGTTGAGACGTTTCAAATATACAGCATATTAGCTCTTCGACAAACATAATGTTCACTGTAGACCAAAATACCCATTTAAAAGATATTTCATACTTACATATTTTGACTCAGTAAATACTCAATTATACTAAAAAGCCAGAAAAGCCCGTAGCATTATCACATGAGTAATGGCAACTCTACTTGCCTATTGCCTGGAATGCAGTCTGACCACGTTGTAAGTAATTTCCCTGTGGTTCATTTTCTGGGAAAGCAGAAAGAACTGCATTTTATGTGTTTGGTAATGCCACACATTTTTTCTATCAGAACTCTCATGGAAGCTTTTAGAAGTAAAAGTTTCCTAAGCTTGTTGATTAGTATATAGGGTATTTGTTTTATGCATTATGTATGTATGCTATATATTATTATTTAAAAATTGTAAAGTAAACTGGGAAAATATTAAGTTTTGAATGAGAATTATTGGTTGAATAAGTCAAACATTGAATAATATTTGAGTAAGAATTGTTTATTTTTGAAAGAGCTCTTAAAAATCAATGCAAAAAATAAACCAAGAAAGAAAAATGAAAAATGCACCTCTTTCCACTAGTAACTGAAATTATGGATAATTATCCTAAGGAACAATTCATATATTCATATAGAGATTTAAGTACATGGTGGGGGTCGATGAACTATGGAGGGTGGGATGTAATTATTAAACACCGAGTGTATGCATGGAACCATGCACAATGTACAGATTATGTGGTATTCGGTCAGTCCCTGCCTAAAGTAGATTTTAATAATTCTCTGGAGAATCACACATCAGTCACTTTTCAAAGGCTTATTTTTCAGAAAAGAGAAACGATGCAAAAAACATCTAAAGTCAAAATGGCTATCGCTTTAGCCAAGATCAACCGAGGAACATTAATTCAAGGATTAAACAGCATATCCAGATCTTCCAAGTCAGTGGCCAAACTCCTGCAGCCTCGGCTTGTTTGTAGACTTTTAGAGTTAAGGGACATATCTCATCGCCTGCTGAGGGAAGTTAATGCACCAAAGCAGCCCCTGTATAACATGCAGGTAAGTGAATGTTGCATTTGCACAAGATATGGACCCTTTTTATAGAAACTTTTGAAATGGCAAGATATGGAAAATGTAGCACATTTGGTTGTCCTACATGTAAAACAAGAATAGCTGGATAAGAGAAATGAATACTTGGGCTTTTTTTCAAGATAGTATATTCCCTGGTTTAAATAAATCTGAAAGAGGAAGTAATGTGGCCTTTTTTCTACCTTGTTATTTAATTGAACTATATAAAACTGCCCATTTCAAATGGTTCATCCTAAATATAAGCATACAAATTACTACTTATGTCAAACCTAAAATCCTACAACAAACCTTAAAAATGATTGTATTTTGTTCAGATTTTCCCAAAACCTATGTTTCCAAGTTCATCTTTGATTGACATAATGTATTGAGTATATTTAACTATAAAGTCATTTTGATAGACCTATTGACATTCAAGTATATTTCAAATTATAGGTTCTACATTGTTACCTTGAGGCTCTGTTAAAAGATAACAGTTCTTAAAACTTCTTTGGGACCAATTTTCCCCCTAAACTTTAAGTCACAGAACTCTGGGTTTTTCAATCAGGACACTATTCAAAGCATTCTAAATGTTTGTTACAAAATATTTGGAATCTTGCAAGTCTGGCATCTAATCCCCAGCCAGAGTGAATCAATTTTAACTCTTTAGTTGAAGGGAGAAAGAACCTGGCTCAAACTGAGTTAAGCCAAAAAGGGGATGTATGAGTTCATGTAGCTGAATAATACAGAGTTGATAAGGTTTCAGGCATAGCTGGATACAGGTACTCAAATGATGCCTTTAGGATCCTGTTTCTCTCTTTCTCTCCATCTCCTGGCTGTGCTTCCCCTGTGTTGACTCCATTCTTAGACTGACATTTCTCTCATGGTCACATGATGATTTGCAGCTGTTACAGGGCTTCATCCTTCCAGGATGAGTTACAGCCGAAAAGAACGAGAGTCCTTGACCCAGCATTCCTGGCCACAAGCCCTGAGGGTCACTCTTAGAGGATGGCTTAGGTCTAGACCAGGGAAATGGGAATGACTGATTGGCCTAGGACTCAGTTCCCTGCTGCATTCCCAGAGCGGGGGTTGGAACTCTATCTAGACCACGTAACCTGAGCAAGGGGAAAGGATGAGTCCCTGAACAAAAATCTGGGTGGTTTTGGGATGAGAAAATGGATGATGGATGGGATGGCTCAAATGAACAAAGCATTCATTATACAGGAATCTCTCTAATCAAAGATTTTGACATTTCCAGAAATCATCAGATATTTCAACTATGAACTGCCTGAGGCAGCATTTATAAAAGACTCTCTTATTATATCTGATGTTTGAGAAAGTAAAAAATGATTTGTGTTCATTAATCACTGGATTCTCTAAGCACTAATAAACCTTATTCCTACATCGTTAGGTCATCAAAAAGGAAACATAGCCGAACCATGTTATTTTAAATTCCCACTGAAATACCCACCTGAGTCTAATGTTTTGCCTGGACACTTCTTTCCTTGCATTGCTAGATCCGTAGGTTTTAGAGAGAATTGATGTAAGAAGTGTCCTTTGAGGACTATTTCTGTATTTATGATGAAATCATGTTTAAAGACCCTATTATATTATTCAGTCTTTCTTTTTGCCCCTCTTTGCTGTGAAGGATCTAAGATTTTTACATTATTTACAAGCTAACAAGTTAGCCTGCCACTGTTATGCAAACACACACACACACACACACACACACACACACGACCCTTGTGGCAGAGACACAGATTGTTTATTATTCACAGCAAAAGTAGCAACCAGAGCAGTATCTTGTGTCAGTCTTCTGCACCACAGTTCCCACAGGGCAATGTGATGAGAGCCAGATGTTACCTCTGCCTGCGAGTAGTTAAGTTATACCACAGGAGAGGAACCCTAAAATTAGAAAATTCAGCTTTTTATAGGGTCACTGGTGAGTCTTCCCAGGTTGGCAGGGGGACTGAGAGAGAAAGAGAGAGAAGTATCTCTGGAGGGGAAGGAGGAGAGGGCTTTATTTTTAGTGCCCTGCGACATGTCTTGGGAGGTACATCACTAGATCTCTCCAAAGGAATATATTTTCTTCCAAAACTGTTTGCTGTTCAACCATGTCCTTTGCTCAGAAGATTCGATCTGTACAGGAATGAGAGACATCCATGGAGAATTGTCTTCCAATACTCATGAAAATTCAGTGGCAGAAAAATAATCTCTATTTTCAGTTGAATTTGAGTTTCATTTTATCCAATAATGAGAACAAAAAACACAATATGTTTGCCTTTTTGCCTTGACTGGCTGAGTTTCACAGGTAAATTTACAGCTTAGCTGTGATAACTTTCTCCAGGAACCTGAGATCAGAGAAGCAGGTTGAAGGACTAAATGACTTGTCTGAGGTCCATGTGCTGACTATGACTCTCTTTTGACATCCATTCAAGATCAACACCTATGCCATCTCTTCTCCTTTTCTCTTGTTCTAATTGTCTTAGGACAGAGCTTTAATTTTTAAAATCCTTATCAATAAAATATTTCAAAATATGTAGAAGGTAGTTTATCAGAAGTTCCACCAAAATTTACCTGGTAGTAATATTCTGCCATACTGCCTTCAGAAACCTCCTTTATAAAAAGAAATATAATTAACCAGGCCCCAATCCTGTCCTCATTTTTTCTCCACCAAAGTTAACCATTATTCTGAATTGATGTGAACATTTCCCTGCATATGTTTATATTGTCACTTCATTTGTATACATGTTTTACTATGTATATTTAAAATTTATATAAAAGGTATACTGTACTTATCCTTTTGAAACTTTCCTTTTTACTCAACAGTTTTATATACGTAGCTATGCTTTATTATTTTAACTTCTTTGTGGCATTCTATTATAAGAAAAAATAATCCACACTTTATCTATTACCAGACAGATAGACAATTTAGTTTTCAATTTTTTGTATTACAAACAGTGCTTCAGTGAACACTCCTGTCAATGACTCCTTATCTGTATGTAAGAGACGTTCTCTGGGTGTGTATCTAGAAGAGGGATTGCTGGGCCCTGAGGGATGCACATCATCAATTTTATTACCTGTTGTCAGATGCTTTCAGAATGGGTGCACCTGGGGATCATTGGGATTCTGTGTGTGTGTGTGTGTGTGTGTGTGTGTGTGTGTGTGTGTGTGAGAGAGAGAGAGAGAGAGAGAGAGAGAGAGAGATTCTGGAATCTGAGGATAATTTCTTTAATTCTGGAAAATTCTTAGCCATTATTTCTTCAAATATTACCTCTTTCTTATTTTCTCTAATCTCTTCTTTTAAAATGCCTGTTAAACATATACTTAGGACCTTCTCATTTTATTCTTTGTCTCTTTAACTTCCTCATATTTTCCATTTCATATTTTTTTGATACATTTTGAATAATTTCCTCTGAGCTATCTTCCAGTTAACCAGTTCTTTCCAGCTGTATCTAATATGCTATTTCACTAATTCAATGTGTTTTAAATTTCAAACATTACTATTTCTAGAAGTTCTATTTGGTGTTTTCCCCCAATTTCTAATTTTTTTCTTTTCAAAGTGTCTTTTATGAGTTTATTTTTTAAATATCTTTATTTTAAACACACTTATTTATGATCTTCTAAAATATTTTTCTTTGAGATATTTGGGGGATGCAAATCTTTCTATTATGATCTATATTGTGTCTCACTCATAGTAGATCATTTCTTTTGGTGTTTGTTTAACTGAAAATTTTTCTTCAACAGGAATTTTTAAAAATAGAAACCCCTTCTCTCCTAGGACCGTCCCTAGAGGATTTCGTTAGTGTTCCAGGGTATTGGCCCCTGGTGGAGACCAGCTTCCTTACCTTCTTCCTGGACTGGTGGGTGCAGTTGTCCTAGTCCAATTTCACCGAGACTACTCAAAGGCCTGCTCCTCACTTCATGTGCATCCAAGTCTCATCTTCAGTCTATCAAAACTCAAGCCCCCAGCCATTACTTCAGGGTCCAATAGCAGCCCCAGAGTTTCATAAATTTAGACACTTACTGTTCCTGTTTTTAGTTTCCTCTTTGTTCCTGGAATGGGAATTTCCCTCCTCCCTCCCTCC